TTCTACAAGCTTTTAAAACATCTTCAATTAAAGCTATAAAAATGAAGATATTAATTCTATCATTAGCTATTAGATTTGATAAATGCTGTATAAATTATACTTTAAGAATTATAAAAATAAATATAAATTATTTAATTTAAATAAGAGTATTTACTTTATATCTCTTAAATATATCTGAAAAAGACTTAAATAGAGAAAAATTTTTAGATTAAAATAAATACTCTAATAATTCAAAAAAAATATTATCTTCTTAGCTGTATAAAATATATACTATAATTAAAGATTAATTATCAAGCTTAAATGTGAAAAGTATAAATTATAATGAGCTCTATTCTTAAAAGAAAAATTTAAGATTATTAATAAATATTACTATTAATGAATCATTAAAAGAAAAGAAAAAAACTATATATATTTAAAAACTTATAGAGATAAATAAAAAGAACTCATTACTGATATATTTAGATGATTCAAAAAGTAAATAAAAATAGTTGAAAGCTAATATAATAATTAAATATTTTAAATCAAATTCAGAATATAAAATGTTTTTATAAAATTTAAAAAAAAAGTATAAAGTTTTTAATATTAAATTATTTATAATTTAAAAGATTTTTATAATAGCTTATAAAATAATCTCTTAAAAAGTAAATATTAATAATATTTAAATATTATTAAATAGTCAAATAGTATTAAAAAAACTTTAAAAATATAAATTTAAAATAATCAGATAAATTTTGAATTAATTTAAAAAATAATAAAAAAAATTAAAACTAAGAATAAAAATATTTAAATTTATTTATTTTGAGTATTTGCTTATATAAATATTTTAAAAAATAAAAAAGTAGATTTAATAGTAAAAATTAAAATTAAAAATTAAAAAATAATTTAAAGAATTATATTCTAATTATTTATTAAAAAAAGATTAAAAAATTATATCTTGATAAATAAATAAAGATTTGAAAAAAAAAATACTCAGTATACAAAATATAAAATAATATCAAAGTAAAAATCTATATTAATAAAATGTAAAAAGAAAACATTTCCTTTATAATATAATTAAAACTTGAATATGATTATTTTAAATTATATATAAAAAAATTTAAAGATTTTTTGAACTTTGATAGATATGATATCTATAATATAATTAAAAATTTAAATTATATACTAATGAATTATTTATTAAATAATAAGATAAAAAAGAAATTAAAAAATATTTAATTAATTAATTAAATATAATCTTTTCATTTAATACTGAATTGGAAAAAAAGTTTTTAATTAAATTTATAGAGAAAATAAATATTATCTTTAGAGAATAAAATTTAATATCAAATAAATTTGATATTTAATCTATAAAAAAATTTAAAATATTTTCAAAAATACTTTTATTAAAAATTTTTTGTATTAAGTTTGTTGCTTTATTTTATTTTATTTTATTTTGTTTTGTTTTGTTTTGTTATTTATTTATTTAAGTTGAAAAAGAGACTGGATTAAAATTGAAACTATAAATGTATTTTTTATTAAAAGATTATTTAATACTATATTATTTTGAAATGAAACTCTATATTATAGTTACTAACTGAATATATCTTAAATAAATGATAATAATAATAATAATAATAAGAAAATGATGTTGAATGAATCTAGATGTACAGTTGACTTCAAAAATGATAATAGAATCAAAAGTATATATTTCAAATAGAATCTATGTCATTTCATGTAGAAACTCTGATCAAGTTGAAAATCTTGCCTATCTGCATTCAGTAATTGCTTGAGAAGAATTTCATCTTCAATCTCTGTCATTTGTGATCACTTTTGTGTGTTTCTGAGTGTGATTTGATGCCAGTAAGTCATTTTACAGAATAGTTTTGAAAACCTCATATATCTTTAAAGCTTTCATCTTTGATATTTTATTTTATTTTATTTTGGATTTATATGAAGCAATGGCCAACTGTATGTGAGACATAAAGACATTTTACAGAAAAAGTGTGAAGAAATGATTGTTGAAGATATTTGGGTTGAGTATTTGATGATTTTCGGAGAGAATCCATCGCTCGGTGGTGTCCGCCGCTCAGTGGTGAAGCACGTTTACTTACAGACAAAAATCTTAATAATGATAGTCATACACGTCTCAGTCTTTTCCCAGAGCTAGATACCTAGGTAAATAGGCCCTCTTCATTGATTACATAGCGGCCAAAAACAAGTTGTCCATCACTTCTTCAAATGAATAAAATCAAAGCCATTCATTCTCCCCTATACTTTTCAGACGGGACTCGAGAATCCACCTTAGGACTTGGACGGTACCTGTTCTGCCCTTTCTATCCCCGCCACCCAACCCACCCCGGGAGCTGCCGATCCATCCCAACAACCCCCCCCATTCTCCTTCAGAATAACGTTTTCCTGCATCCTCCTCGCCCCAGCCCCAAGCCCAACTCCAGCCCCAGCCCCAGTCCCAGAAAACCCACTATCCTCACTCCCCGTCCTCGACAAATTAGGCGACGCAATCAAACTTCCACCCCTCCCGCCCAGCAAAAGCCCCCGCACCACGCCCCCCACCCGCCCTGCAATCACCTCACCCTTCCCGGCCGTTAACACATACAACAAATACTTCAAATTCGGCAACGTATGTCTAACATCAATAACCCTTAACCCCATCCTGTTCATCAAATACTCGATATTCTTGTTCAGCAGGAAGACACCGTACTCAAAGCGATAATGCGTGTTTACAGGGTAGAGTGGGAACGTGCGCTGTCGCTGTGCGAGGCCTGCGGAGATCGGGTCCTGGATGAACGATTGCGATAGGTAGGGTTTGACCGGGTATGGGAGGGGGACGGAGAGGTAGAAGGAGAGCAGGTAGATAAGGTGTGCTGTATACCCCAGCGCGGCCGCGACGGATTCCTTGTCCATGTCTTCGAAGGTGGAGTTGGGGAGTGGCCGGCCGCAGATAGTGAAGGAGAGTGCTTCCTCTGGCACTGGTTCGATGGGGTATATAGCCTGCAGGTCCTCGCAGATGCGCCGTATTTGGCCCATGGTCTCCTCTGTTGTGATCTTCAAAACATTTTCACTCGAGGACATTGCTAAGTGTGCTTCGGAGAGATAGGATTGTGTCTTTTCTTGTGATAGGCGGCTGTGGGCCATGGCATTTCTCCTCGCTAAGAGACTAGCTAGGATTTCTTCTTTGCGTTTCGCGCTCTGGCGTAGCTGTTTCTTTGTGGAGGCTGTTGCTTTTTTCACAGCTGAGAGCTTTTCTGCTGCTTGAGATTTGCGATTTAACGTGTTCAGATCCTTCAGCTTCTTCTCAAGTATACCGTTGATTTGGACTTCGAGTTTTTCCCGTGTCGCGAGCTCATCCTGTATGCAATCGTCAAGATTGGCAAGGCGCATCAGCGCATCAAAGGAGGATGTAAGTTGTCGGTTATCGTCATTGGACTTAGTAGTAGGAATATGAGGAAATGACGGCAACCGTTGTACGGGCGGTATATCCATCAAATTCGTATAAATCCCATCCGGAAAGTGAAACACAACACAATTCGCAGGCAGTGGATGATGGAAATTCTCCAACGAATTCCCAATATACTGCAGGGAGCGTAGATTAACCTCTAGCCTCAGCAGCAATATATACTCCACCATATTCCCCATCTTCACCCAAAACCTGCACGTCACCTGGTCCTGCCGTGACACCAGTGGTCCACAAGCGTTCAGATCAAAGTACTTGAAGCTCGGATTCACGGTCTTCTCCACAACCTCACTCACGTAGATGGGTTCGTCGATGCCGGCGCAGTGCAGTGAAAAGAAGGAATCCGCCATCCTATTACCCGCAATGGCCTCCAGCTTGTGCTGCCGAATGAACGGACTGGCACCGGCCCATGGCAATGTACTTCTCCTGCGGCTCATCGGAGGATCCGGTTTCCGTTCTTTTTCGATATTGGACGCATCGGGTGACTGATCCCCGCGCTTGAGGTCTGTGAACGAGCGCGACTGGTGGATGGAAGGTCTGGATTCAAGCTTCGAGAGAAGCTTTGCGGGTGTCTGAAGTGCGTTGGGGACATTGTCGTCATCTATGGTCTTGCCACGGGGCCGCGGATTGGTATGAGTACTGGACGGGAGGTTGACGATGAGGTTGCGCACGGAGATGCCCTGGAGATGGCGCAGTTTGCGATTCTATATAACCAATAAGCAGTTCGGTCAGCTATAGATAAGTTACAAAATTTGAATCGCAAGCAATAGAACGATTGCATAGATGTAGATGGAGGGAGTACTGGGCATAGCATACCAATAACCATGTCTTCCGACGCTGGATATCTGCAGTACTGAGCTGTTCAAGTCGCTGGACGAGGGCATCTGTAGATGCGGAATGAGACATTGCTAGGAAATTTGTAATGTGTGAGGCATAGTATGTAGTGTCAACGGAGCTCTCATCCTACAGAGCAGATTTCACAGAGTAACCTGGAGGGGAGGATTCGAGATGACAGAACAAGCGCAGCGAGGACTAGATCATGATATCTCGCCTGTACCAGATGCTAGAGATTCTATATAACAGTATATATCAGACAAAGGATGCTCTGTTCCTTTTGTTTCCTTTGTTGTTCTTCTTTTGTAAATATCTAATTGTCGTTGGTTGTTCATGTTCATCCATGCTGTTGTAAGTAAGCTAAGCTTTTGCACTATGGCTTTGTTCCTGATTGGGCAATCAACCAAGCCGAAATCCAACCCCCGCAAAAAACTTCATGCCAGTTGCAACAACCATTTACAACAGACAACGCAACAACCACAACCACTACCATAACGACGATCATTACACTCCTCAAGCGTAAGGAGTATTGACTTCATTCGTCTCCGGAAGGTGTCACAATGTCCTAGAGAATCACCAATTGGCTCTGTAGGAAGATCGACAAAACCCACGCACACTCACAGCCCCTGGCGGAAATGGTCGCCAAATCGGCCGTGACATCAGCTGCCCGAATAGCTGCTATAGCAACTAGGGGAGCGGAAGTGGGAGCGGGAGTGGGTGTCTGTTCGGAGAAGCGGCTTGTAAAGGTTTCCTCCAGCGACTCGTCGACTTCAGAGATACCTCCACCGCCTCCAAAAGAGACTGTCCATGTCAACCCTTCAATCGTAAGCACGTGGAACGTTGTCCGCTTCCCCAAATCAACAGAGCCCATTCAGGGTAGGGTCAGAGAGCCCACATCCCGTGCTGCTCTGCTATGGCGGGCACAGGAAGTGGCAAGGCTGCGCAAAGCCCTTAATCGCATGACACACGGGAAAAATATATTCGCGTACAATAACATCCGGACAAATCAGGTTATATATTCATTTACCAGAGCTCTTGAGGTGAGTTTAATTCCGTCGCTGAATATGAGAAGAAAGAAAGTGGAACCATATCTAACTATATACTATCCAGAAAAACAAGGTCCTCTCCCAACTCATCTACCACGGTAAAAAGACCGTCCCCGCAACCCTGCGCAAGGATATGTGGACCCCTTATTTCTCCGTGCACTTCCCCTCCGCCACTCTGGGCCTCGAAACCTATCGTCTCCTCCGCGAATTCTCTATACAGCGCCAGCTAGCACCACCCACAGACATAATCACCGCATCAAAAGATAACGAGGTGCTCACCCGCCAGCGCCCTCGAGACCCCAAGAAAGCAGAGGAATGGGATGAGCAGTGGAATCCTCGAATGGAACAACGCCAGATTCTTAACAAGAGGCTGCGCGCCCGGGTGCTGATGGACCAGAAGGCGACCAGCGTGGCGGATATTGCGGCTGTGTTGGAGTTGCAGGAGCAGAAATTGAAGGCCCAGGAAGAGCAGGAGGCCAGAGAGGCGGAGCAGGAAGATGGGAATGGGGCCGGAGAGAAGGAAGGAGAGAGAAAGGTGGTTAGTGGGACGAAAGGCGTTATCGAGAAGGATGGAGTTAAGAGGGATTCTAAGGGGAGGAAAGTCAGTCGCAAGAGGCTGGCGCGGATCCGGGCTGCGATCAGGAAGGAGCAGAGGCTCGAGAAGGAAACTATGGACAAAATCGCCAAGTTGGAAAGAAAGATTTGGTCGCCGACGGCGACATATAAGATTGACCCGGACGTGCCGCCGACGGAGCACCATATTGTCAATGACGGGGAGATCAAGATCTTTTGGATGGACGTGCATAATTTGCAATATGCGGAGTCGTGGCCCAAGAATGTCGTTCATGGCCAGTTGAAAATTACTGGGGATCATATTATGGGCGTTGATCTTGACCTTGAGGGTCCCGTGCTGGCGGAGTTTGAGACTGCTCCTGCTGCTAGAGTGGAGGGGGGTGCGGGAAAGGGAGAGGGAGAAGGAGAGGGACGGGCTGAAGCTGGGGGCGAGGAGGAGAACGGAGAGCCTCCAAAGGAAGAGAAGTCGGGCCTGAAGAAGTTGAAGTTCTGGTAGTTAGGACGCTGATAGAAAAGAAGGTTATGGCGTGCATTTTCACTTTTTGGGTACTTCACCGGTTTAGCGAGAAGAGTATGGGCTGTCTCCAAGGATATAGTTTCTTTCCCTCCCCTGTCGCCTCCTTTACTCATGTTCCTTCTTCACCATCTGTACAATCTTCAACTCTTTCCCCTGTCAAGGAATTTACATCTCCTTGCTCCTTTCCTCAAGGTCTTGTATAGTACCGATATATGTATCCTCTATGTTATTGAGACACCCGTTTATACACAAATCATTTTTATAGGAACCCAATTTTATGGGAGAACTGGTTTCAGGTTTCCAAAAATTTAGCAACTTGAGTAGGGAATTGATTTTACTGAGGTTACCATTTGTCCAGCTAGAGGTCGTTCTGGTGAAAAGGAGAACAAAGTCAACAATATTTAATGGAAAGTAATCGAGTTTGACATCCCTCACTTTATAGACAAATGTTTATACAACTGCTCAGTGTGAAATAATTAATTGCCTAAGAAGCTTCAAGAGTCTGAAGAAAATGTCGCTGATATACCCCAATTCTGTTTAGGAATAGGGCTCACTGGTTGGGGCATGAATGAAGAGCAGTTATCGAATAACCCGTACACGATGCTCTCTGATTAGAAAAATTAAGGGATAGCGCATGTCGTTCGTCTCACAATTAGACATCATCAAAAACTCTTCGATAAAATAAAAATTAAAAAAATAAAAAATAAAAATAAAAAACACCAAAAAATGCAAATATCGCCCTACCATGCGAAATTTGAAGTTAGCAGAAGGTAAATATCAAAGCAAACTCCCGAATTTCACCAAACAGAAATCCTGGCAGAACAGGGAGAATAAAACTCGAAACATAGCACTCAACCAGGAAACTCAAGCAGCGGGGGAAAAGGAAGGAAAAACCAAAAATAAGAAAAAAACAGAGACACAAACAGACACATAGGAACCATCCAATCCACATCCTCATCTCCTTTCTCACCCCGTTCCATACTAAACCGTTTCGCCCTTTGCATTTCTTCCTGGTTAGATTTACCTCCAGTAGTGGTTGGTATCCAGTACGGTAGGGTACATATTCACTCAATACCTCATATTGCACCTGTATTCCGTATATACATACATACAAAAATCATAATGTGCGTTGGGACGTCAAAACGTAACATAGCATGAGATAACGTTGCGTGGCATAAGATAGCATAGCATGAAAAGAAGAAAAAGAAAAAGCGGGATAGAGGCAGCAGCAGCGGGCCACTGGCAGAATAGAAAATAAAATAGAATATCAGCAAAATAAAATGGAGGATGGAATTGAGCGAGGGTGGGGAAGAAGAGGGGTTTGGGAAAGTTTACAAACGGCTCAAGCTCGAGAAAAACAAGACTGGAAAAATGACAAAAAAAAAGGAAGAACGAAATAGGTAAAGATGATACATTAATAGCCAATGAAAGCAAGTAAGCGTTACCCCATGTCTTCCTTGTGGCTTGTTTTGCAGAAAGGGGTAGGGAGACCTAAAATATCATAGAGGTTACAAAAAAAAGCAAAGGGGAACAGAACCTTGGAATGATCATTTCTTCCGTATCGTGCTTAAACCCCGTAAAAGGACATAAATGAACCGCATTCATCTGTCTTTTCCAGTCTTGGTTTTCAAGATGAGCGTCCGAAAAGGTGGCAAAACATGCCTGAGAAAGAAATCAGGGTAAAGAGGAATAAAGATAACAAAAAGAAGAAAAAGCCCTGAGCCATGGTCCACAAGTAAATCCATCTCACCCCTTTCTATCCCATATCACCCTGCTTATCTCTACTCACAACCCCATTCTTATCCTTATCGACCTTACTCCTCTTCACCCCCAAATCCAAATTGGCCCCCTCAATCACCCCCTTCAACTCAGCTGGCGAAACCTCAGGCCCCAAATCCTCATCCTCCACAGCTGAAAGATCCTCAATAGGCATAGCATTCTCGTCATCGTCGTCACCAGCAGTAACCTCACCCCCCAACTTCCCAGAACGAACTTTCCTCCTCGTCTCCTCAACAATCTTGTCCGCCTCGCTCATGCCGCCCAGAAATTTGACAGATAAGTCATTATTACTATTAGGGATACCAAAAGTGGTAAGATTGTTGTCTGCAGCGGACGGAGGTGGCGTGCGTTGATTTATGGCCAGCTGGATAGCCTTGGTGTCAAAGCGGACGATCATGCAGGAGAGGTTGTCCGTGCTGAAACGGGATAGGGCGTGGTCAACAAGGATTTTCGAGGCGACTTGTGGATCCTCTATGCCGCGGACGAGGTCGACAGCTTCTTGATCGGAACAGACGTCCCATAGCTAAAGGTTTTAGCCGGAAGAGGTTAGTTCAAGCGATTAAGTTATGATTAATAGGGTGCGATTGATATGGACGATAATAAAAAACACTTACACCATCGCAAGCTAGAATCATGAACTCATCAGTTTCAGGCTGGATGACTGTCTCCGTCGTGTACGGGTGGCCAGTGACGAGGTCTTTCATATACGAATCTCCCAACGCCCGAGTAACAGCAAGAACACCGTTTACGCGATTATTGAGAATGAGGCCTCCCGCGTTGGATATTCGTTTCCCCTCGTTCTCGTCACTGCCTTTGTGGTCATACGATAATCGCAGGGCTTTGCCGTTTCGACATAGGACCACTCGTGCATCACCCACATTGGCAGTGTATAGAACACGATGTCGAGAGGTGATTGATTCTTGGGGTTTTGGATTTGTAGATTCTGGGGCTGAGGTTGATAGGCTAGATGCATCTCTGGATGTTTGCACTGGTAGTACAGCGGTATTGCCTTTATCTGTTCCTGGCTTGGATTGCCCAGCTGAGGGTGTAGTTGGATTGTGAGTCGGCACAGTAGTTCGATCCTCCCATCGTAATATCGCAGTTACAGCGGTGCAGCCGCTATTTTTTAAAGGAAGTTTCTCCAGTTGTTGATCCACGTTTGTGAAAGTCTGGTCTAGGAGTTCCGGAACTGGAGAATTCGGGTGTTTTCTCATTATATCCTCCAGTATAAGATGGAGTTTTTTACCGCACCATTCCGCAGCGAAAGTGCCAGCATGCCCATCAAAAATGGCAAAGTATCCATTATCAGTTTCAATCATAGGCATAGAATCAGAAGAATCATTGGTTGTAGATATCGACTCTTCGGAAGCTTTGCTGTGTGCTGGCGATTCCGTTTTGGCCGGGATAGGAGCCGATGTTCCAAGAAAATTATACAGATACGCATGTGTATCTTCCATAGTCCTTCGACATTTTCTATTTTTATCTTCCGTAACGCCAACACGAAATGACGAGTGCGCAGTTGGCGCTGATTCACCCGCTGAGTTATTCAACGACCCTTGCGGAACAATTAATGCTGGATCCATCCTCCCCAACTTCTGCACGGGTGTCTGCGCCAGGTGCGGTTCCCTCTGAGACTCTCGCGAACTTGAAAGATGTAGAGAATTTTTAGCGTTGGTAAAGAATGCCGCAGCTTTTGTCATGGAACTACTTCGTCGCTTGTGGCGCTCCGGTGATGATGGGCTCCGGTCCTCGCTGCGGCTGCGGGATGTCAGCGAATTGCCGCTAGGTGAATTGGTGTTGTTTTCCAGCACAGGAACAGTATCCTCCGTATTAATGGATAGCACAGTCGGACCGGGACCGGAGGCAGGAGCGGTGTTGTCTTTTTCTTTGATCGGGCTCGTGGAGCCGCTGAACATTCTGTAGAACAACCCGCCCTGGCTGGAGAAGGTTCTCCGCTTACTTCCTGCCAGCTTGATAAACCAATTTAAAACACTGAGATGCGTTCTCGCTATATGAGAAAAAATAAGTGTTGGTTTTAAGGGGGTAGATTTCCAGCCTTTTTTTGTAAAAAAAAAAAATCCTTCTTGTTGAACTCACGAACAATGATATTATTCGGGGTGTACTTAGAAGGCAGCTGTGCTTGAAACTGGGATTAACAACGTCAGTCACCGTACATGAGCGCATAAATGTAGTTCACCACAAACAATGAAATTCCAAGTAAACAAGGCGGGTGGTACAGTCAAATTCCTCACCAGGGAACGATCAATCTGCTCGAGAACACCAGAAGATCCGACACTCAACGGCTTCATACAACACCCAGCACAGATACACTGGAAATCAGGATATAGAAACATACCTCCAAAGGGATGATCAACAAGCACCTGACGTCCAACGCAAGGTTCCAGGAATAATAGCCCGCCCGTAATCCCTTATCCAGCAACTCTAGAGCTGGGAATCGTCCGAGTCAACGGCAGAGGCAGATTTGCGTCGATAACGTGAAACAAGTACGGTTGTCCTGGTGGCGGGAAAGAAAGGCAGAATGAGCAGGGGTTACATATGTTTTGCAGCTGTGGATGAAGGTGAAGTCAGCATCTCTGTCTGTCAGCGCGAGCATTGAGGGCGATATTCCGGGGGTGTGCAGGTTCAAAAACAGGAAGTTGGATCGATTACTCCATGTATAACTAATTATCTGGTAACTAACTAGTTAGTTATGATGGGAGTGGCTTGGGCTAGATGATTGGGGAGCAAGATCTGACGAAGCAAGAACCGAACCCACTAGTTAGAGCACACCCCACCTCAAAACAAGCGGGGAGAGGGGAACTGCAAAGAACAGAGAGTAGAACCACAACTGGTGCGAGACGACTTACTTCTAGTGTCTAGGATGGTTAGGAACAAGCTGGATGAGAGGATAGACTAGCAGGATGAAGAGAAGTGAGAAGTGAGAGAGTTGGAAGAGGTTTAACTAACGGAAGGATGGGGTTGAGTGAAGGTCTCTCCCCAGTTCATTATTTAGTTTGTCATTTAAATAGGTGGTTTACCGAGTTGACACTTCTTAGGGGCAAAACTCTAGTGGGAGTCTTCGGCACTCAGCGGGGACAAAACATCAACTACGGGGCTACAGGCCTTAGGATACAGCAATTTAATGCTATAAAAGCTAACTAATCTACAGAGTCCATATGATATTTATTTATATCCCAGCCCTGCATCATTTTGCGTAGAGGCTCACTCCAGAGTATTGATTCCATAATATTTTCCCCGGAAATCACAGGGATCAACCGGTGTTATCACATCTAACAAGGAGGACTGATTTGTTTGTTCTAAAAACAGTTATTGCAAGATTGTGATATTCAAATACCCATAATACGCATATTGGCATTGTTGCTGTTATGAAACGGAAAGCAAATAAAGACAAAGTGGAAATTTGACACTGGAATAACAGCTGATTCTCGAAACAACATGTCTATTTCTATAGTATTCTTTTAGCGGCTGACTGTCAGGACGACTACAGCTGTTCAGATATACATCACAAATAACAAGACTTGTGTACTGCAATATTCCCTGGTATTTAAAAGATTCAAGCTGCTATACGTTGTTAATATCGCCGAGGATATGTTTTCGTGCTTTGTAACTATTTTCCATAGGGCAAGAAAGCGAACAGGGATGAGTTATATGTCAGTACGGGGAACCGGGCTCCTAAGCTTGCCATGCATGGAGGAAGACTGTATGAGTTGGCATAACCCCATCAGTATCTCCAATTTGGGAAGAAGAAGAAGCATGGCCATTGCAGACGTAGGTTGAGCCGCAGCTAAGTTTATAGGGACCCAGTATAACAGACGGCTTGTCCATATGGTTCTGAATTCAGGATCCTCTGGTAACGCGCGCTAAAACTGATGTATTCTAAGAGTACAGAGGATGTCCTCGTTGAAATGTGGGGAAAAGAGAATAGAAAGAAAGATATCAATATATTCAATCAATATAGCCTGAAACAGAACCCCAAACACCACTGCCGCAAGAAGCGGACATACATCAGCTGAGTAAAACACCGCCCCAAAGTCATTATAAGAGCAAGATCATCATCACCGTCGGAGACTGTCCAGTCTCGCCTGTAAATCATCGTCGTCCGTATTTGTGCCTCCGCCCGCACCACCTCCACCGCCTCCTCCGCCGCCAATTGCCTGGGCCACTCGGCCTTCAGGGACCGAAGCCTTTTGTAGTCCTGAAGGTGTCTCTCCCATCTGTAATTGCAAAATATTAGCAATCTTCAAGCAATATATATAACGCATAATCAAGATAGAGATACAAACCATCTGTCCCAGATCAACACCAATCTCATCCAGAACCTCCTTAACTATCTCCTCCCCTTCCTCCTCATCCTCGAGCCCCGTGGCTTCATCGATAGCGTCATCCATCAGCTCCTGCCGCTGGTCCATGATCTCATTCTCCCGCTCGAATTCCATGGCTATTCGTTGCAGGGCGGGCAGGTTCATTTGTCGGTTCATACTGCCTAGGAGCATCGTAGCGCCTTTCATTGATTGCATCATTTGCTCGTTACTCCGGACGGTCTATACATATGTGCGTGAATAAAGATAGTTAGTATATCATATATTTCCTCTTGCATGCCAGCGTCTGTCTGTTTAAGGTAGCGCAATCATACCTGGATCCGTAGAGAGATGGCCTGTAGCTGCGTTCGCATCGAGTAGAACTTTTGTATGTACCTATGATGACCAAGACAAGACAAGATGGATCAGCAACTCTACCTCGATAAAAACAAACAACCGGCGACATCTCCACGCCCGCTAACTTAGCAAAAATGGGGAGTCATCTTTGTCAGAAACAAAACATACCGTCTCGTCCTCACCAAATCCTTCGCTTGAATCTTGCAGGCGCCTATCTGCCCAGCCTTTGCGCTCTTCTTGATATCCTGCACCAGCTTCCTCTCCTGGTTTTCCAGCTTCACACGTTCTCTATCCAGTTCCCGCTGTGTTTTCTCCAGTGCCCGTTGATGTTTTCGCAGACGCTCTGCAGGCGTCATGCGCTTTCCAAAGGCCCATTCCACGATCTGGTAGGTTGTCTGGTGAGTACGCGGCAGGGCGGGAAGAGGAGAGGGACCACTTACATTCATTGCAGGGGTGAAACAACTGGAATTGAAGCACCGGTATTCCAAAATGTATATTAAATCAAAAGGCTACAGACGAGACAGTATAATCGTAGTTTGTTCTAAACAAATATCTCCCTGTCAATCCATTGAGCCTTAGGGATCTAAGTTATGCCATGGCCGATAATTAATAACGGCCGTTGCCTGCAGACGCCACGCCAAGCCCTTTTAACCACCCCAACCCACTCTCGGGAAAATTACCTCCGGAGCTCCGACCAGTCAGTCCATGATTATTTTGATCCCCAGGACGTCATTGGCGGTTTAACCAACAAACCCTTATCAACACAAGTCTTCAGCCAACGACGACAACCGCGTCGAAACGGTCTCTTCGTTTGATCAGACCACATCCATCTAATCCGGCGTAGCCTCTTTGCTTGCCATGAGTCAACGATATTTCCCTGGCGAAGCTGCTTCGTCGGCTGGGGAGGGCTCCTCCAAGCACGCGGTTGCTGAATCTTCGAGCAACCCTTTTCCCCAAGGTGACGGACCAGGATATATAGTGGTTGGTTCTGGATCGATTTCTCACAATGCAACCTCATTAATGGATTCGCTGAATAATGATTCTGGATATGGAGGCAGCACAACGGGGGACAGTACCAGTGGATATGGTGAGAGTTTAATGGAGGACCGGCCAACTCCTTCCCATACGCCTGTGCAACTCAACGAAGCTGGTTTGTTTATCTCTATTGCGTTGTTTACGTGACATATATAAGTCCCTGTGTTTTCCTGATATATCTAATACGTTGTACAGCCGAGCACGAAAGGCAGATTGTGGCCAACCATGTCCATCAATTGTTATAGTACGTTTTTAAAACCCCATTTAGACCCGTTCCTGGCTAACATACATAATTCTTCCCCTCTAGCAATTCGAATCGAACTCAGCTTAGCCGCTCGATCACCCGTACTGTAGAGCTTCTCAAAGAGCTCCAGGGAATGAATCGTCAGTGGCCTGCTCACTATCCGCCAGTACAATCCAGCCAACCCCTTTCCCCACATCCATCTGGTTTCCAGCGGCTGCAATCATATCACGTCAATGCATTAAATAAGAACTGTTTCGAAAGGCCAGATCCTCTACGACGTGCCACGGCGGCGATGGATGGAAGTGCGATCTCTGACTGCAGCGACGTGGCGGAACACAAACCTTCTCCGGGACCGCGCCTGGTAACACCCCAGATTTCCCAGGAATTTTCCGTCCTGAAACTAGATCTCAAACTTGGCGCATTGTCACAGTCAGAGCTGGTCCATTCTCTGGAAAAGGGCTCCATTGCCTCCCTCCTGGACGGCAGGGTGAGCCAGAGCATCAGGCACCTGCTTTCCTTGCGGGACAGAATAGAGGATTTGTCGAGCAAGGTTCTGATTACTGGGGATCTTAACGCGGGCAAATCGACGTTTTGCAATGCTTTGTTGCGCCGCAAAGTTCTACCGGAAGATCAGCAGCCGTGCACGAGTATCTTTTGCGAAGTGTTGGATGCACGGGAAAATTGTGGGGTTGAGGAAGTCCATGCCATCCACAAGGACCGACAGTATAACCGCAACGATGAGAGCACATATGACGTATATTCAATTCAAGACTTGGAGTCCATTGTGGTGGATAACAGCAAATATATGCAGTGCAAGATTTATTTGAAGGATATAAGGACCATTGACGAGTCGTTGCTCAACAATGGCGTGGTCGATATATCCATCATCGATGCTCCAGGGCTGAACTCAGACTCCGTAAAGACCACTGCTGTCTTTGCTCGACAGGAGGAAATTGATGTGGTTGTCTTTGTCGTCTCCGCTGCGAACCATTTTACATTATCTGCGCAGGAATTTATCATGAACGCTGCCCATGAAAAGGCCTATATTTTTATTGTTGTTAATGGCTTTGACAATATTCGGGATAAGGAACGTTGCCAGCAGACGGTTTTGAAACAAATTCAGAAATTGAGTCCACGGACGTTCAAAGAGTCTGCTGAACTCGTTCACTTTGTATCGAGTAATGCGGTTCCAGTTATACCTGCTATTACAGCTGGTGGTGGTGGGGGAGATGGTGGAGGTGGTGGCCCAGACTTCGATGACGATGACAACACAAAGGGCAAAGGCAGAGCATCTGCTGGAGGTGATGATAAGGGGAAAGGCAAGGATAAAGAGAAGATTAAGGACTTTGAGAATCTGGAGGGCGCATTGCGACGATTTGTCCTTGACAAGCGCTCACGCTCGAAACTGGCCCCGGCAAAGACATATCTTCTGAATATCCTTTCCGACCTACATTTCCTCGCCTCTGCGAACCGAGATGTTGCTTCATCGGAGATGGATCGTATGACACGGGAGCTTGACGAACTTGTTCCCGCTTATGAGGAAAGCAAGAAGCGACGAACGGAAGTTTCCGAGAGCCTTTCCAACTCAATAGATGAATCATGTGAGGATGTTTATAATTATTCCCGCACAACTCTCTCGACTACAATTTCGACGCTTGCAGAAGCTACTCTTGGTGTTGAGTATCCGGGCCTGCTATCTGCATTCCGCTACGCAGAAGATCTAAAGATAGTTATGCTAGACGAGCTTGCTGCCTCCGTCTCGGCTTGCGAGGATTATGCTCGTGGAAAGTCCGTCCAGGGAGTCAACATGATACAGAGCATCGGCCTCCTACACGTTGGGGAAGATAAATTCCCCAATCTCAATTTCCGCGCGGATCTTCTGTTTAAGCAGAAGCGCCATATCTCTGCGAGACAACTTGATACCGAGATCCAACTCTGGGATTTCTTCGACATTCCAGGGCTGTGGCATCGGCAAGAAAAGATTGCTGGAACTGGCATGGCGATGACCGTTGTGACCGTCCTTGGGGGAAGAGTCCTGGGTGGAGCTGGTTGGATCGACGGCGCTCTTGGCGCAGCTAGAATCTTGGGTTCCAACAATATGAGACGGATGATTGTACCAGGCATTGTCGCAGCAGGTGGGTTTCTTTCTTATTTCCCTATTACCGATTTTTTATTATATACCTGACTAACCCAACATCATTCTCTCTCCCAGCCATACTAACTGCCTCATACCTCCTCACCCAAATACCCAACGCCGTCCCAGCCAACATCTCCCGCAAGCTCTCTGAAACCCTCACAGAGCTCGACTATGTCCACTCCAACGCCACCCGCATCTCATCCGAAGTGCGTCGGGTCCTCCGCATGCCCGCATCAAGGCTGCAGGCCGCACTGCAAGCAGCCACAGAAGACCTAGCCAAGCGCAAAGACGAAGTTGGTAGGACGAAGCAACAGAGCGAGATTGCTAGCAAATACTTTGCCAACCTGTTCAGGGAGAGTCGTGAGACTCGCAGGGTGGTTGAGCAGGTTGATCTTGAAGCGCCGTTGCCTGGCAGCATGGCGCAATATGAGCAACAGCATTAGCTTTGACCTTTCCTGCCCGAAAGAAAGAATATGGGAGGCCTATGTGTCCTAGCCTGACGTCTAACATCTTCACCCACCTCCATTGTTACTTTACTACCTCCTTGAGCTCTGCCCATTGATCCTTCGGTTTACAATGTTGACTATATGTGCATATGTCTGTACAAATACCTTGTTGTCTCCATTCAAAATTTTCCTAAATACCCCTCGCCCCTCTCTAAATAAGTTCTCATTCCATAGCAACTCCCAACAACCTCTTCCAACAGCACCACCAATGCATTTACTGCTTAGGTCGTAATTTATTTATTTATTTATTTTAAATATTTAAATATTTTTTTTTATTTCTCCAGATAGCAAGATGGAAAAAAAATTTCTTTTCTCGTTTTTTAAATATTTTGTCAGACAAGATGCTACTCTCTTCAATGTCCAAAACTCATCCCATCCCCTTTGCTTCATATTTCTGTTCGACTAGAAATATCACCTAAAAACCGAAATTGCAGGCATTTCATGTACATTAAGGTGCGTTTAGCTAATTCTCATATAGTTTACGCGATGTTGTTCAAGTAGATATCGTCTTTCGTACGATTTTTTTTATAATGCTTGCCAACTCTGAGACAGGATAGGTATATGCAGAGCAACTTGTTCACTTTGACGTTATCAATGCGCGATGTGTGGATATAATGTTCTATCAAATTTTAAGGCACAGGTGTCAAAGTGTTCTCTCTCTGCTTTAGTATCATCGGTTTTCAATAAGATTTGCCTCCACCTGTACAGAATGACAGACAAGAATCCTTGGGTGAAAAGGATCATTTCGTATTTCTCCATCTAAGAAGCCATTTATAATCCTTTCCATGGAAACTCCAAAACCAAAATGTTCATCACCAAAATCTTCCTATAGAAAACATGTTGAAAGGTCAATCATAAATGTAACGCCTCATCGCTCTTTATGGGTAACTGTCAGTATTTATAGAGCAATCAAACTTGATATTTTTTCATACATCATCATGTTTGACATATATACACATGCAACAAAGCAATGGGAACAACATAATCATAGACCTCCTACTCCCTTCCCGGGCCTTCTCATGCTCCTCCTACCCACCCACCCAGCTAGTAAATCATGATCTTTAACCTTGCCAAGAACAAGACCATTTGCAGCTCTCTCCCGGTTCTTAGCCGTAGCATCAGCAACGGCACCAGTCGCGCCATCTTCAACCCCTTGATCTGCTATCCCTTCATTTCCACTAGCAATTTTCGCCCTCATAGCAGCCGCACCAGGGACCTCGTATCCCAACTGGGTCATTGCAGGGGTGTCATCTTCGTCCTCGAACCCGGGAAACTCAGAAGCAGCATCTGTGCGAAACATTTCCAGACGACTCTCCAACAGCTGCTGCGCCTCCGTCTTGTCCGCCTTCTTATTTTCTGCGAAAAGGGAGGAGAAGCTAGGTAGGTTGCTGTTGACTTTTGTTGTCGAAGGACTATCGAGGCCCAGTCCGTCCACGACGCTACCACAGCCATCTTCGTTCATGGTGTCTATGGAATTGGCTCGGGGTAAATGCGAGTCACCAGGCATGGCGGCACCTAGCAGCAATGAAGAATGGGAACTGGAGCTGCCGAAGAGCTGTTTTCGGCGCTTTCTCTGTTGTTGCTGCTGCTGTTGCAGACCGGTGTCTCCGCTATCTTTATTTTCGAGACTTGATGGTTTGGAGGAAGTTGCCTTGCGCTTTTGATTCAGGAATTCATTGAGGGCAACGTTGAGGGTTGTTTTCGGGTCTGGAATTTTATCATTGGATTCTATTTTTGGAGGTGTTTTTGATCGGACGCGAGTTGCAAGAAGGGGAGTTTTGTTGCTTTTCGAAGAAGCAGGAGAACGACTGCGCTTTCGTGGAGAGTTTTCTGGTAGCTCTGGGAGAACGTTTTCAGGCGGTATGCTTGGTTGTCGCGTGGTTTCTGGCTGCTTCTCAATTTCACTCCTTCGAGTGGTGACAGCGGCTTGTTTGGATGTATGTGAATCAGGAGATGATGATGTATCATTTTCTGATGGTGCGCTTCGCTTCTTGCTGCCCTCTTGCTTCACTTTACGCTGTTGAATATGGTGGACTGGGCATCCATTCTTTTGAGGTTGTTTATCTTGTATTATGTAGGGGACGAAAGGCTTTCTCTCTCCGGTTTGAACCGAAATCCACAGCCAGTCGGCAATGACAGCAGGAATATTCCATTCGGTAACGTGTCGAAGCTTCTCTTGGTTCGGATTTGTGCTGTTGCAAATGAGCACTGATGCCTTGGAGGTGAGATACTCATCGTAGGTAGCCCCTAATGACAATTAATCTCCAAGCCGGTTTTTTTATAACAATGTATTATGGGCACATACCCATAACTTTGACGAGTTTTGAAAGATGTAAAAGATCAATACCAGAAAATCCAGTAGAGCATACTCTCAGCCCATGGAATGCTATTCAGGGTTAGAAATCATTTGTCTAAAGTAGATAGGACTCACTAACCTGGAATCGGAAATCTGGGGAAAGGGGTACTGGTGATATGTGATTCAGGGGGAATGAGGGAGTTATTATGCAGACACTTCTCGACCCACAGGTCCGTTACAACTTGCGGCTCGATCACGAAGTCATCAAGAGATGGAATTTCAGAGCGTGGTAAATTGTATGGCACAAGCACATACATGCCTGGACCGTTTGTAGTGGTGTCTCCAGCAAGCCCGCTTAGTGACGTCACAAGTTGGGCACCGCGAGAGAGTAAATGAGTCTCTAGAATTTTAGTCTAGCGAGAGTTAGCGTAGATCAACGTCTTGAATAAAACTAAGGTGTATACCTGACTTGAGGAGAACCCTTTGATTAAGAATCTAGCTCCTAACAAGAATTTACCGCGAGGTTCAATCAGATCCACTGACTTCGTTTCGTCCATGGCTTGACGGGAAGCTACTGTGGTTTCGCTTGCAAAAGACTTTGGCTCGTGGATCAAAGAGACACTTGTCACCGCTAACATATCAGTACCCCGATCGTTAAGCCCACTTTGGAAACTGTCGCTTGTCATAGTGGTTTTCGCTGCATTCCCGCTAATATTCGACCATATATCTTCGTTTTGTCCACCCAGTTTTATACTTGCAACCCTTCGAAGTTTCCGGGGCCGTTGAAGATTTGCATTGATTAATTTGGGTCGCTTCATGGGATCCACTGGAGCTGATCTGTTCCACGCACCAATGCCTTGCTCTTCGTCTGGCATCAGCGGGTCATAGAGACTCTCGTCCAACGCCATCCCTCGTTCAAGACTGTCTTCAAGCCATTTTAAGCTTACCACGGTTATCTTCCACAGGGTTGCATACTTATATTTCTGACCGCATCCGGATCGCGCAATCAGATGGGTAACACTTTTGGTGAGATCCCGTCTAAATTCTCCCCCATTCTCTGTGATCGTCCTCTGAAGGTGGTTCCTGGTGTTCACTTTTGGTGGTGAGCAGACTGTGTAACATTCAAACGACCAAGCGCAATGGCGTCACATACTGTCCTCAAATCCAGTAAGACATATCGATAAGCCTGCAAATGTGGGATATCGATATTGTTCCTCCAGTTCCTCAAGATTGGGGTCTCCCCCAAGCATCCAATAAGACCGGACAGCTTCTACCCATTCTGGCTTGAGAACTTTGATGTCGATCCGCTCCTTGGCCACGTATTTATATTTTGGCGTGTTCAGATCCCCGACTATCAAATGCGTAACGTCTGATGTGAGATCGAATTTATGGACCGCCCCCATCTGAGTAGCTATGGAAGCCAATTGCTCCTACACCGAAGCGAAATATCAACATCTTCAGTAGCCTGACGCAATGTTGAGGGACACAATCCTACCCGATACTCTGGCAATATCGATGTACAGCAAAGAATCACCCCCGCAAGAGGGCGTTCCTTATCTAATATGCATTATTCATTAGCATTTGAAGCTTTTTAATATGGGTTCGGAACGTGCTAATTACCTGGTACGATGTCCCCATCCATTATTCATAATTGACATAGCCAGCTAGATGGGTGTGTGTTGGCGCCCTTCGAGTTATCAACTATCAATACACCCTGTTGCCCCATATATATGTTCATTTTGCTGCCGATGATGCATAATTTATGTATGTTCGAGAAGAACACCCAGAAACCTCCAAACACGCGGTCATTTGACTTCGGTTGCCCTAACTCGCGTTTTCAGGGGAGGGTCACGTGGCGGCGTTAGTTAGTTATTAGTTAACTGATTGACTTTCGCGTTGAGCCGCGAAGCCAGCATCAGTATATAATCAATCATACCGGGACAACAAGCCTTCAACGACACAGATTGATAGACGGATGACGACAATGTCTGCAGCAACCTGTTAATACTCGACATTCTGCAGTCGTTCACAGAATTGGCTGATCGAGTTGCCACATACAGCAGTTTATGTCCCGTTACACTCCTTTGACGAGAGCTTCGACGTTAATCATTAAACCTGTCATTCGATTGGCTTCACCGTGGCCACATTCTACTTATTCCCTGCGAAGGCGAAAGTTTGCGATGTTTAATAAAGCAGTTCGCGAACATACGGCTCCCACAACGGCTTCTATAAAGGCTTCTTCAAAGGCTCCTGCAAAAGCTGCTGCAAAAGCTCTCTTCCCCACTATCACTCCTCTAAACAAGCCTGCGCCTGTCTCCTCCATCCAAACTGCTGGAGTAAAGCGGAAGTTGGATGTTGTCCAACCCCCGTCAGAGACACCATTAGGGGTTCTTCACAGCAACGTGTACTTCGATGAGAATGATTTCGATGATGATATAGATTTGGATGAGCCTACTGGCTTTTCGATAAACGTAACTCAACAATCACAAACACGATCCTTGCCGTCCTCACGTATTCAACCGGTGGATCCTCTCCCCCTCCCTGAGAATCCTGCGCCATCGAGTGATAATGCCCCTTCAAGCACTCTTCCCCTTCCGTGGTCCTCTTCTCCCCCTACACATTTCCTCCCTCCTGCAAAAAAGCGTACACTACCTTGGAATGAATATGGGGAGCCTCCAGCGCCAGCCAGGTCTCGAAACAGACCAGAACACAAATCTGTCACCCGTACACCAGACATTAAAAAGCAACCGTCTTTGCCGTGGGATCAGACTATGAGCGCTGTAAAAGAACAACAGAAGGAATTGCGAAAACAACAAAAGACTCGCGTTGGTTCTGAGAAAAACGCTGCCGAATTTCCCACGAGAGCCCCGAAAGTTCCATCTATATTTTTAAGTGAAGAACAGAAACGAGTAGTCGACGCTATCGTCCAAGATGGCAAGAGCATATTTTTTACGGGTTCTGCTGGTACGGGCAAATCCGTTCTGATGAGGGAAATCATCCGAAAATTACGCGAAAAGTACAAGAAGGAACCTGACCGCATTGCCGTAACCGCATCGACTGGGCTTGCAGCATGTAACATTGAAGGAGTCACTCTCCACAGTTTTGCTGGTATTGGATTAGGAAAGGAGTCCGTTGCCGACCTCGTGAAAAAGGTTTGTTAAACTAGACCTGCTACCAAATTTCAAGTCTCTTCTTGGGTTTCTATTGACTTCTCTTTTCCAAGGTAAAACGAAATCAAAAAAATAAAACCCGTTGGCTGAGGACGAAAGTTCTAATTGTTGATGAAATTTCAATGGTTGATGGTGACTTGTTTGATAAACTTGAGGAGATTGCTCGTAAAATCAGAAATAATGGGCGTCCATTTGGGGGCATCCAATTGGTTATTACTGGCGACTTTTTTCAGCTGCCGCCAGTGCCGGACCCTACAAAGCTGGCGAAATTCGCCTTTTCAGCATCTACGTGGAATACCACCATTCAACACACAATTCTTTTGACTCAGGTTTTCAGACAAAAGGATCCAAAATTCGCTTCTATGTTGAACGAAATAAGATTGGGAAAATTAAGTCAAGAGACGATTGATGCTTTTAAACAACTATCGCGCCCTCTAAACTTTCACGATGCACTTGAGGCCACGGAACTGTAAGCTTTGTTTCTATATCGATCCATGCGTATGACGCCGACTAATAATTTTGCCTAGATTCCCCACCCGATTGGAAGTCGAAAATGCCAACTCTGCTAGAATGAACAGACTCTCTGGTGAGACAATGGTGTATACTGCCGTTGATGGTGGAACAATGCAAAATGAAGCACAGCGCTCGCAACTTCTTGCAGACTGCGTTACGCCAATCCTCCAACTTAAAAAGGGGGCCCAAGTCATGCTTATCAAGAACATGGACGAAAGCCTAGTTAACGGGTCTTTGGGCAAAGTTGTTGCCTTTATGGATGAAGCTAGGTTTGACTATTATAGTAAAAGCGATGAAAATTTTGCTGGTGACCAAGGTTATGCTGATCGCAGCGCTCAGACTATGAGCAAACTAAAATCTTTTGAAAATAAAAATGGGACAGTCAACCCGAAAGGATTGTGGCCTGTTGTATGTTTTGTCCAGCCAGATGGAACTGAACGACACCTTCTTTGCCAACCAGAGACGTGGAAGATTGAACTTCCAAATGGCGAAGTACGAGCTCAACGAACGCAGGTTCCCCTCATCCTTGCATGGGCACTCTCCATTCACAAGGCGCAGGGTCAAACCTTACAACGAGTTAAAGTTGACCTTGGGCGCGTTTTTGAAAAGGGGCAGGCCTACGTTGCGCTCAGTCGGGCGGTTTCTCAGGCTGGCCTTCAAGTTTCCCGCTTTGATCCCCGACGAGTTATGGTGCATCCCAAAGTCTTGGAATTTTATTCGAATTTATCCAGCATTCACAATATCAAAACTGCTACCAACACCCTTCCCTACGCCCTTCCCAATCCTAGCACTGACGCCAACGCCAACACGAATCAAAGCCGTGATCAAGTTAAGGTTGTCAAAAGCACGCATTCGGAGTTAGATGACGACTTTGATGAAACGGTTCTGGAGGGAATATATGCATGATATGGGTATTGTGTATTTCGTTTTCCCTGTAGCAAAAACTAAGCGTTGTCGGTTTTCTATTTTCTATTTTGATTCTTTTTGATGCGTCAACGATCCTTTATGTTTTGCATCTTTTCGCTACATAATTACTATGATTCTCACCATTTCGATGGGGACCGCCATCTCATCCACGCACAGAAACAACCTATAAATTCCAAATATATCATTATTAGACATATTAGATGAAACAGAGAACAATCCAACTTATTTAACACCTTGCAATTCTTCCAGCACATCCAAATAAGCTCATACAAGCGCAAAATCCAATCCATACGTCAGTTGTTCGCATCCCGGTTTCTTTCTGTAGGTTATGGCAATAACCAATGGCTATTTTAAAGTCACATGACTTCACTTATTTCTTTGCAGTAATCTACTTCTTATATCCACAACAAACCAACAACTAAACAGGCATAAAACGAGAAGTAGAATGTTTGTTAGAGCAAACATATCTTCCCTATATGCAATCTTCTTTTAATCATTATGCACAACTCTCAATTCTGATCTCATCTATTTTGTTCTTCTGCTGATAGTCGCGATGGCTGAGGACTTTGTGGGATACACCGTGCTCGTTACCCTCAAATCACCACCAAATTCCCAAATTCAAGGAGTGGTCGCTGATGTTGTTGGGCAGCGACTAACACTTAAAGATGGTAAGAGGCATTATTACATGAGCTCGAGAGTCAATGGGCGCTAACACGGAGATAGTCACACTTCTATGGAATGGTCAGCGCCTTCCACTGTACCATATCGATGCGCCTGGTATTGCCGACCTAGAGCTGTCTTCTCATCAAATACCACACCATCCTGTCACAAACAACTATGGATCAGGCTCGCCTAGAACCTTTTTGAATGGTGGCCCGTTCCTCTCTCAACACCTCTCATCGCAACCCGCGCAGGTCAGGCCCGAAAACATCGCGGAGGCTTTGTCGTCGGAAAGTCAGCGTCCGAGATTTGTTGACCCAGCCATCCTAAGTTTCCAAAAGCCCTCGAAGCCACAACCTCTGTCTACCACGAACATGCCTCTGCCTGTCAGCAAACGAGGTACTTCTCCAGTTATGATAGCCGATTCGGAATCTATTGGCCGTTCTGGTCCGAAATCTACAGCTCCCCTAACAGGAAAATCAGTCGGGCCAAAGAAGACAAATACAAATGACACGGCTGCAACACTTAGTGAACCGTTTAATAACTTGGGTTTTAACGCTGGCGAGGACTCGAAGGAGGCTCAGGCTGGTCCTGTCCAGAAACAGGAGGACTTGGATATCCCAGAAGGTCGAAGGGGTGCAGGTCCTCTCGAAGCCCCGCTCAAGTACACAGGCAAACGAAGTCGAAGAGGTGGGAGGAACAAATTGAATAAAGATACTGCTGTTCAATCGTCCAGTATTGGCCCTGTACTTGAGGATCCTAGCGCGACGTTAAGCTCAACGCGAACGAATATTGCGGGGAAGGGTTGGCGCATGACTGCGTTTGTCGAACCAGGTCACCCGTCATCACCACCAAAACCTGGGCGTACTAGACGCTCAAAAGCTAGGAGCAGGAGATCACATGCAGATGAGGCGAGCGGATGGGCCACGGAAGACGCCACCGATATCCAGGAGATGGGAGATTTTGATTTCGCAACCAACTTGTCCAAATTCGACAAACGCCGTATTTTCGATCAAATTCGTAACGATGACACCACGACCGGAGAAGAACGATTGATCAGTTTCAATAGAAGGGTTCACAAACCAGGGACTAACGAAGGGAAAAATTTACACTACACAGAAAATGTACTCGATGACGACACATCACATGGAAAATGGAATAGTGAAGCAGGGGAAACGGAGGAGGATGAACTCAGTGGAGAGTGCTTCAGTAGTGAAAAAAACTCTGCAAGGGCTCGATCAGGAGTGTCTGCGCGTGCTCAGTCTCGAAAGCGCAGCACAATCCTCGGCTCGACCCTTGTATCTTCTCAAATCAGTTCCTTATCCCGTGGCCAAATGACGTCGTCTCGTACTGAAAGCCCGCAACCTCATAGGAGCTCGCCACGTGTAGGATCTACTTCACCCGCAGCTGGTTATCTGATGCTGATACCAACAAACCGAGAATGTCCATGTGTCGCCCCACTTCAAATGATCGAGATAGAGCAGCTTGCAATCTCAGAGCTAGGATTGGGAGAAGACGTAATCGCGGAGAACGCTGGGCGCGGTATCGCCGAAGCTGCCGTTTCTCAAATACCCAAACTTGCAACTTCTTCAACTATATTAGTTTTGGCTGGAAACCATCGAACTGGTAGCCGGGCTGTTTGTGCCGCTCGACATTTTCGTAATCGGGGATATCGAGTAACTCTATGCATTCTCGGTTCGGATCGCGAAAATGAACTCATTGAAGGGGTACGAAAACAGGTCGATATCTTTGAAAAGATATCGGGAAAAGTTCTGAGATGGGAGGAAATGTCAACAAGATTGTCGGCTGGTGATTATGTGCCCGATCTTGTGATCGATGCGCTGTTTGGTGTTCACATTGCCTTTGATGACCTACGCACAGACGAGCAAGCGATTGCATTTGAGATGATCTCTTGGGCTAACCGCAGCAATGTTGAAATTCTGTCTGTCGATGTTCCTTCAGGCCTCTCAGCTCTGTCAGGTGAGCCTTCCCCGTCCTCTGTTCATCCAATGACAATTGTACTAACTATTCTGCGTTTCTCAGGTGAACCAACCATTGTCCAAGGTTCGCGACTAAATGTCAATCCGAAATTCATCGTCTGTCTCGCAGCACCAAAAACTGGACTTTTGCAAGCACTTGGATCTGGCGAAGGCCTAGCATGGAACATCACAGTTGCAGATATCGGTATCAGCCAGGTTCCGTGGAGAAAACACGGTAGTCGTCGGCGCCATGGTGTTGGTTTTGGCAATCAGTGGGTTGTACCTTTACGGTTCGAATTGCCAACGCCGTGAACCACATTTTCTCTCGGAAAGATCTACAGGTATAAAGTTGCGTGACATGTTTCTTTTCATTGGCCAATACCCAAGAGTTGCTATCGGAGGAGTTAATCGGGTCTTGTTTCTTTGCGGGCCATGCAATATCAGAAGAGAAGGGCTTTTTGCTGTCTTCGCTTGCCTATATTTGTTATAACCCTTCTGTATTCTTACAACACTGGGATCAGGAGAATCGGAATTGGGAGCAATGAAGTTTCCTTCTTTAATCTTGTGTGTTACTCTTGCATTAAAAGCTTCCAATTATCAATTTGTCCTGAAGCATATTACAAACTGCGATCTGCGTCCATGGTCGCACTCCATTTTCCTTCCGTGAGTAGAGACGTCAGCAATAAGATTTTATCATGCAATTGTAGGCAAAGCGATATGTGGGGCATGCTAGATCCATCGGTTACGTTAACTAAATAGTACCGTACCTTTATTCGGCTCCATCAGTTGCTTATGCTGCTATCATCGTCTATCAAGGTTATCATCGCCTATCAAGGTTCTACTTCCACATCCGAAAAAAGTTTAGCGTAGGATGGAAAGCTTGACTTGAACGCCTCGTATCTGCGCCAGCTCTCACGCCCACGACAACGGCATTTAAACTTGTCTACTCTCAGCAAATAGCATCAACCATGGGGAAAGGTGAGCGGATATGCCCTCTATTAATGCTCACTTCTTGAATATTTGCGATTCTAATTTTTCGCTTTTTGCAGGAACTGATAAACTTTATGTACGGATACAAATGCGCGACAGCGTCCCCCCGCTCCAACTTCCAGGATCCTTGAGTTCTAATGGACACTCATTATTATTAGATTACCCATTCAGAATGGGCGTCTGAAGATGCATATTCGGCCAGTGCCGGTTCCGGTGTCAGATCGAAAGCAGTAACTGTGCATTCTTCCCTTAAACGACTCCCATATAATTTTTGTTCGCTCTCCCTACAACCATTTTCGCACCCCGTTTGTACACTCTCCGGTACCACCTTCGACCTAACGAACATCCTCCCTTGGATCAAGAAGCATGGAACAAACCCTGTGAACGGCAAACCACTTAAAAGCTCTGACCTGATCAAGTTAAACTTCGCGAAAAATGACGAAGGCGAATACGTAGACCCGGTCACCTATAAGGTGTTCACGGACAATACACATATTGTGGCGCTGAAGCCGTCGGGTAATGTCTTTGCGTGGGATACAGTAGAGAAGCTGAATGTCAAGGCCAAGATGTGGAAGGATCTTGTATCTGATCAGGAGTTTGGACGGAAGGACATCATTACTTTGCAGGATCCGCAGAATGTCGAATCGAGAAACCTCAGTTCGTTTAAGTTCCTGAAAGATGGAGAAAGCGGGCTGTCGGACGAACAATTGCGGGAGCAAGGCGATAATGTGAATTTGAATGCCATGGGGAGCTCAGCGAAGATCTTGAAAGCTAAGGAAGCTGTCGCGAAAGCACGCGCGGAGCGTGAACAGAAGGCAAATGCTAAAGCTCTTGGGAAATCGAATATTAGGGATGCATTTACAGCCTCGGGCAAGAGTGTTTCCGCCAAAGGCTCAGCAATGACTCAAAAACCAACTCCTTACAACGCTGCGAAACACACCACTGGGCTTGCAGCTGCCTCCTTTACTAGCACCGGTCTCACGCCTCATACGTCTGCTGACCTTGCGCTTCTTACGGACGAACAATATATGTTGCGGCGAGGTCGTGTTAAGATTAAGGGATATGTACGTATTAACACCACGATGGGGGATCTCAATCTCGAACTATTCACAGAAAATGCGCCAAAGGCAGTATGGAATTTCATTCAGTTAGCCAAGAAGGGATATTATAATGATGTTACATTTCACCGGAACATTAAGGGTTTCATGATCCAAGGCGGTGATCCCACAGGTACCGGTAGAGGAGGCGAAAGTATCTGGGGCAAATACTTCGAAGATGAGATCGAGGGTCCCCTCAAACACGATGCAAGAGGAATGGTGAGCATGGCTAATAAAGGGAAAAACTCGAATGGTAGTCAATTGTGAGTGCAGCATCTCCGTCATCCCATGTCTTATCCCTAGAAATTAGAATTCCCTTCAGGAATGATACAGCATCTGACCCAAATAACCGGGAAAAAAAAAGCTTCATCTCCTATCGAGCTCTTCCCCATCTAAACCTTAAACACACCATATTCGCCCGCCTAATCGATGATCCTTCTCCGTCATCCACAACACTCAACGCCCTCGAAATTGCCCCTGTCGATTCCAACAATAAACCCATAACACCCATTCGCATCACCAATATAACGATCTTTATAGATCCATTCGAAGAATTCCTAAATCAGAAACGTGCTGAAGAGAAATTACAAGCTGGCTCTGGCTCTGGCGCCTCGAATGGTTCTGGCTTAGAAGACGGTCAAAATGATGACCAAATGACCTGGACAGGCAAGCGGATTCGAACTGGTGGTGGAGCCAACGGCTCTTCCACATCAACTGGCGATACGGGTGTGGGGAAGTATCTCAAGGCTGCAACTGCAGCTGCCGCTCATCAAAAAAAGTCGGGTGAGGATGAAATCCTAGATGTTGTTGATGACGAGCCCGAGCCTGAGCATGTGAGGAAGAAGTTCAAGGCTGTCAGTGGGAGTGGTGGGTTTGGTAATTTTGATAATTGGTGAAAGAATCCTTGTCCCTAAACCCATCTCCCCGGTGAACCCCCACATCCTGGTGATATGGGTGATATATTTCCCTTCTCTTCAACTGGGTGCTTTCTACCGTGTGGTTTACTTATAACAGGATAGATATTTCAACGGCGTACAGTTATTCATTGAGGGCTTTCATCATGAGAACTTTGGGACAAAAGGGCTACGGATTTGATGTGGGCGTTCTGAAGTAATTCCTTGAAATTTCAACTTTGTGGGAAATGCTGTTCATAATCAATACCCTTTCGAATGATATTCAAACCCTTCCGGATATATTGGGATTTAATGATTTGTCAATTAGCTATTGAAATAAGGGTTTGAGAGTTAATTATATATACGTATCGCGTGGCTTTTATCATAGGAGCATTAACGAATCCCGCGGGACAGATCCGTTTGCATCAACATAATCGCCATCCGCGACCAGAGGCTGGTGCCCAAGTCCAACCTCTCAACCACGCTAGGTGGAAAATCTGGCGAAGGAACTTTTCGCCGGCATCACCCTCAAAACATCAGAGCAGTCCTGCGATATCTCTTCATTGACAGGCAATTTGCCACCAAAGATTTCTCACCAGCTGCCCATCAAGCAGTTGCTGAAATCTCACACTCCTAACAATGAATGATTTCTAAGAACCCATGTTCTATTTTTGAATAGTTAAGCAGCGCAGAAAACCGAGAAATCTCTGAATGGTCACTGCTCTTGAGATGTTGGCAGAGAATACTATACTGCCACAAGTGAATGGAAGCATTAAATGTTAGTTTGGAAGATTTTGACAACATATTACCATTGTTAGATACGTGCGTACATGTGGAAGAGCTTTTTCAGACCTTCACTCTTTGATAAAAGATAAATGTACGCTATGTAGGTCGTATTGATACTATAAAGATAGAGCTCTGAATCTTCCTGTGCGGAAACAAATGCGCAGGGAATTTGTTCATTTGGCACAATTAACTGAAACTGAGCTCCAAGGTCGGTTTGTGAGAAGTTCGCAGGTGTTCTAATGTCATATCGAGATATCTGCATTGGCTTTCTCATTCGCTGTTATGAGATGGTGTCTTTTTCCAACCCTCTATCTTATTGGCAACCGTTAGGCCCAACTTACTCAGCAGCATTTTAAACTAGCAATAGAGGAGAACTGAGAGCTTTTTCACCGTAGGCCGATTTTATAATTTTTTGAACTCTTGTTTCGCCTCTAGAATAAACTCCAATAAGTGAAGGATCTTGGGATTGGTGAGATCGTTGGAAGGGCTCCACTTAATTGCTGCCACCAGAGTCATGGTATTCGTGCAAGGCGAACTAGGACCTTGGTTAGAATAGGTAGTTAATGTTCAAGAGATGCATAAATCTTGCTTGTCGAAGAGCCACACTTGCAAACTGAAGAATGTCCAAGGGTAAGTTGCCTGCAGGATGTGTAAAACTGTCCCAGCTCAAGTCGGGACAACCCAATGAAATGTTATCTTGGAGAAGAGAAGTAAATCGCTAGTTATAAAACAGGGTCCCCATTGTTGACAACTATCTGTCAATCCCGGCTTGGCTAGGGACGCAGTTAGCCGTTGGATCCACCAAATTAGAATTGATGCAGCTGCTGTGCGGGTACCCACTTATGAATGCTGTATTGTAATTTTGTGCTACATATTAATTAGGACAGGTATTCGCAGATCTGACGGGTTCCCAACAGTTTTGAGCCAATAAAATAGTTCATGGTGTTCTCGACGACAAATGTCGAGAGGTTGAAGTTGCTCTTCGTTCGAATAGACTGGCAAAAAGCTTCTGCTTAAACACGTGATATGGCGACGAGGTCTTAAAAGCCTCCAACAAATTCAACTCCTAACATCAAATACCTCTTGGAACGGAAAATAATCGTCAATGTTGGAAGTTAATTATTCCTCTCCCCATCCTAAACCAATGACTCCTCCACTGATCTGATATAGAGTCTACTTTCTTCGTATTTAGAGGCAATCAACACTTTTCTGTTTCGCGAACACGATGTTGCACGATGCTCATTCCACTCTTGACTTGATCAGTTTGGCATGCAGTCAGACGGTGGTACCGGGTCGGGGATTTCGATGTGACGCCCTTTTCCGTATTCAGGGATTCCGAACACCCTACACCGCCTTTACCTTGTCATTGAGACGGCTGTCAAAATGTTTGCGCCAACCCAACTTGTATTTTGGAAACTTAATTTATTAGTTATCCATTCGTGATGCCAGAAAAATATGCCCAGCCTTAAGTCCTATGAGAATCAGGGTATCTGGGTGCTTCCACGAGCAGAAATCAACATGACTAGGCTCATGTTCGGATCGGCTATCGACCTTTTCCAAAAGAGATTACTCTGATTCGGGGACTCATGATAACAAAAGGTTATAATTCCATACAGAAGCAAGACTTATCAGAGAGCTTCTGGCGAAGAATACCTTAATATATCGAGAATTTGATATACCATTACCTATCAGTGGATTCCACCCCGACCTTTTCGATGTAGCTGAGTCACTGCCTTGGGGAACCACAGTTGTTAACTGGAGAATATGCTGGTTTGTCCATATATTATTCTGGAAATGCCCGCATCCAGATCGACTAAAAAGGCTTCCATGCAACGATGAATCCCTGCTGAATTGAGATTTCAACCCGATCGTCATATTGATATCTTCCACACTTTACACGAAATGATGCGATCCCTGCCATTAAGTAGTTACAGCAGTATGGAATTCCCCAGGTTTGAAATCAGGCTGTGGCGGCTTTATCGATGTTGAAGCGCTCATATCAAAAAGCTAACTACCACCACCCCACAATTTCCAAATCCATCTCCATGTGCCGACCAGAACTGTGGCTGGACCAAAACTAAGGGAAGGAAAAAAATGTATATGTGAATTTTCTCTGTTTCGTTACCTTGGTATGAGGAAAATCGAAGCCCCTGGTGAAAGTGAGGCAACAAGCCGAGAGGTGGGAAAGACGGCATCTCCTGTTCCAAATGCTCCGGCCTCACGTTTATGTAAGGCAATCATATTCCTAAAGCTAACCAGGATTTTGTGGAATTGGACCCTTTTGACATGTTAAAGGAGTTGGAATGTACTCGACAAGAATGAAGGTGTGGGCGACAAGGCTATACCACCGGCATTTCGAGGCACGGCTTTGCTCGTGACGGGCTACTTGAGTTCGACTCGACATTTGAATCTGTCTATGCAATGTTCCCTCATGAACCCTGAAGATAAATTCGCAAAATATTAATTGCTATTTGGTTGATCGACTTTGCCAACATGTCATCATTTACCGTAGGTCTGACGCTTAATTGGTCTCCAGCTAATTGACTTTGATTTTTTTTTGCATTTGAAGAGCATCAGGATGTCGAGCTTTGGTGGAATATTATTATAGTTTTCTTCAGCTGATGTTGCGGATATGTAGCGCAATGCAGTATGCAAGACACAATTGTCATTTCTTTGCTAAAAGTGATTCCCATCATCCCATCTGATGATCGACCGTTTCGATTGATCCGAATCACATTCCAACTACAAGCCTCCAGTCGATATGAGGCAAACGGCAACCACTAGGGCAAAATCAAATACTTCTTGACAGAAGTTGAATATGACTGGTTCTCAAGAGATCTGACTTTCTAACTTGCTCATATGCTTGGTTTTACATCGTGGGGGTTTGGACGACGTATCATTATCAGGCTGGTGCTTGGGACCAGTGAGTGAAAGTGCGTTTGTGGAGAAGAAAGATGCAGAATTCTTTGACATGAGATTCCAACTGATTGTAACAGGTGTGATCATGGTTCCTTGTCTCCTTGTTTCTTTCTCTTTCGTTTCTCGATTGAAGCTTCTAACCAATCGCCGCCAAATAGATACGAAGGCAGGCAAGGATGACGTTATAGCGACAGCTGCGACACGCAAGGCTGCATTTCGTCGTCGATTCTTTTTTTATTTCTCTCTTGTGCAGTTTTCAGACTTCATGTAACAGGAGTCTCAATGAACGAAACAGTGAACCTTGCAAGCCAATACTGTGGTGCACTGGCCATCAGCCAACTATCAATATTCTAGAAAAGGACTCGAAGCATACCGCATCATCAGACATCATCATGCTGCAGCCAACCAGGCCCTTTACTTGACAAAGAATCATTCCTGTCTGCACTCTTAAGCCTTACAATATTTCCGGGTTTGGCAGAATCCTATCGCTTAAATCATCAGCCAAAGAAGAGATGCGTGGGGTGGTTCTCCAGTTACCAAAAATGACCGGCCTTAAAAGTTTCGGTGTTGCTCTAGTGTCAGGAATATCATCAAGATTTATCACCTGAGAGGCATATTATTATTATTATTATTATTATTATTATTATTATCCCCTCTTGTTCACTGCAACCTTTTGCTTCTAGATATTTTGTAAGACCCGGTGCACATGGTCACCGGAGGCTAGTCCCCCAAGACAGGAACGCCACTTCCCATTGCTCGGAATGCATCTCTTTCAAACTGATCTTCAATTCACTTTTGACAAAGTGTACTGTTAAACTCTATTGCTCACCGGGAAACCAGAATGAGGATACTTTAACGGGAAAGTTGGGAAATTGTATTTTCCCCCAGGAAGTCTGATGGAACAAGACGAGTCAAGCCCGTATCTCATTCAACTGACAGGGAGGAGAGATATTGGCATCCTTAGCGGGCAGCCTTCCCTCTAAGGGACCTCTTTTAATCCATTCGCTATCCTGCCCATTGAAGGGTTACATGGGATGTCATCTGATCCTGCTTATACTCAAGAGCACTATGTGGGAATCCAGGTAAGTTTGAATAAATCGAGAAGATAATCTCGTGATTCATTCCAAGTCCCCTCGAATTTCAAAGAAATAATGCAAACTTGAAGTGTCTCGGCGAGAAAACGTTTTGCGTCGGTTCCAAAAATTAGTTACAACAGAAACAACCTGCATATTATTTCGTTATCACCTAACTAGTTCGTTACTAACTAGTTATTCAACTGAATGACTGACTAACACATC